TGAGTAAACGCTACTTACGACAAATGTATACGGAATGAAAAGTAAATTTTCTCATTAACGTTAAAAGATATTAAATGTAAAAATATGGGAAATCAAAACTAATAACACCAACTACGTCTCCTTCAAAAGTTACAAAAATCTACCGTACAGTTTCGGATTAATTCGACCTTAAACTTCAAAGTCAATTTTCTCAAAACCGTGTTTTGTAACATTCGACATCCGTTTTCTGAGACGACGATATGTAACTCAATTTCAGCGTCACCTGGCGGCAAATTTTTTCGAAACAATTCATTTTCCTTTTATCAGTACATATTTTGAATCTGAGGATAATCGGACCATAAACACGATTTTAGTAATAACTCGACTCCAACCCTACCTGGCGGCTTTTTTTTGCAATGGTATTGTTTTTCCTTTTGTCAATAAATATCCCGAATATCAGACGAATCGGCCGATAAACACGATTTTTAGTAATAGCTCGACTCCAACGCCACCTGGCGGGTCTTTTTTTAGCAATGGTATTGTTTTTCCTATTGTCAATACATATCTCAAATATGAGGCGAATCGGTCCATAAATACGGGTTTTACTAATAACTCGACTCCAGCGCCTCCTAGCGGTTGTTTTAATAGTTATTCTGCTATTCGGAAGGTAGACAAATTCAAGAAACAAATAAATATATATATATAAAAATCGGTCCAGCCGTTCTTGAGTTATAAATGGTGTAACTAACACGACTTTGTTTTATATATATAGATAGAAGATAGATTTTATTGCTGTAACAGACAAAAATAAACAACGCGCCCCTGATGATGCTAATAAGTTTAGCGAAACGTTGGGCTGTAATAGTGGAATAAACTTGTTTTATTTGTACTAGAGCTAATCAGATCGGACTAGCCTATCAAGGAAATTTATTAAATCAATTCCTTTTGGAAACGTTTCGTTAGCGGAAAAAGACGCTAAATTCAATATGTGGCACACACATCCGTTTACGTACAAATTTGGTATAACTTTCTTTAATCTAGCCTGCACGCTACTAACAGAACCCATCATTACAGAGCAATTGTCTGCCGCGAATGCCAGCATATTCTCAGAAGGAATAGAGTTCGTTTTAAGGATTTGCAATATGGCATTGCAACTGGTCTCAGCACTGCTGTTCTCTAGGGGTACTAGATCTAAAAATCGATCAATGCATTTTTTGTCAAACAATCTTATAACGACCGCCAGGTTTTTTGATACTGATATATCCGTGCTCTCATCAACGATGACAGAGTAGTATTGATTACTGCAAAGGCGTGCAATTGATTTTGAGTTCAGTGGAGCAATGACATCATTTACAATTTTTTGAGTCTTAAGTCTATTAACTGCCATTTTTTAATGATTTTCGAATCCGTGATGGTATTTTTTAAAAGCAGATTTAAGTGATCCATCATCGCGAATGGTAAGTTATGCTCAGCTACAAAACAGCTGAGTCTTACCTCCAGGCATTTTGCTGCTTTGGTTGTAGTGTCGAACGATCGCTTAGATGCAATAAATTCATTTAACTTTGGAGTGTTTTGGGCCAGCTTCTCTGCTTTTTTATGGCTCTCGGAAATTGCATGGCGCTGGATGTGATATAGTCTTCCAACAATCGGTGAACTGCATATTACGCACTTTTTTCCTTGAGGGGACTCGTCTCGTTCTAACCATGGATATTTTTCTTTCCATTGTATACGAAAAGGAATTTTATATTTTTTGCAGTCATCTCTGTCACATAAAGAACGTCAAGAAAATTAAACATTAGCAGGAAAGTCATTTATTGAGTTAAAAATATGTATGCTCTCACGACTCATTTCTGTGGCCATTTGGTGTTGTGTCATCTTCTTTTGCCGCTTCGCCTTCGGTTTTTCGGCAATAACAAACATTACAATGGTATATTTAAATAATTTTCCAAGTTTTTAATAGATGCCTTACCTTTTAAAAAAAATATCCATGTTCCAAAACGTATTTTTCGTTTATTTTTTATACCTTGTAATGTAAAACAAATTTAATCCAAGTTTGTACGAAGTAGAGAAGGAAGAAAATATTTGTATAAATAAGTAGACGTTTTTAATAAACGAAAATATAAAACCAATCCAAACATACACCGCGCGGGATTTCCAAATTGTACCAAAAAGGTCAATGTGGTGTCAATGTACTTTTTGGTTTCAAATTGTACCAAAAAAGCACAATTGTGGCAATTTTATCATCACTTAGGGTATTCACAGTTTACTTCTAAAGTTAAAAGGTGGCAACTTTAACAAGATAACACACTCGAACTGTGAACAACCCTTATGTTTAAATAAAGTATTAGTGGTATTCATCTAAACCGATAACTTTATCAAGCAGATAATCTTATAAGTTTATGCACTCTGTTACATGAACGACCCACACTCTCTTTTCGTTTACACATGCGACCATAATCGTGTTTTCTTTGGTTATAAAGCGCAGTGTCACTAACTTTATACTACTAGCACGGGGATAAAGAAATTATTGAAACTACCTCACTAAATTGGAAAGAATTATATTTACGAGATATCTATTTAAATAAATGTACATATAACATAAAGGCTATTTATTTGAAGCAAGTTATAAGAAACAATGGCAGAATGTCTGGTTGTGTATGAATTCATTTATCACGGCTACCAAACTTTGCGAATTATCAGTGAAACAAAACAAACAGACGGGATAATAATTGAACCAGATCTCTATCAGGATCATATCGTTGTTGAATTTGCGTGCAAAATTTGTATGCGGATTCCGATGATTGCCTAAGAAAACATAGCTAGAGTTGCGACAGAGTTGCATTGTCTTCAGTTTATCAAGTTTATTCAGTGAAATCGCTGGATAAATTTATCAGAAATGTGTAAACGAGTTTCCATACAAATTTTGACAGTTCATTTATAAGGTTTACACAATTATAAGTTTATACGGTTTACAATGCATTTATAAGGTTTGATGAATACCCTTATTAAGTTGATCAACAATACCACGCATTGCTAGACCGTTTGCCTTTCACGCGTTTGTTACTACGTTTATACGCATGCATAAGTCGCTTTAATGCATTTCGCCGCGATTCAAAACATATGTATAAACTGAATTTCAATTCGCTTTGAAAGAGCGAAGTGTTTTGGCTCACACTCCATTTCAAATCGGTAGTTTATTTCTCCAGACAGTTAGAAAGAGTGTATAAACACCGCTCTCACTCAAAGCGAATTGGAGATCAGCTGTTCCGCTCAAATTCCAAATAATCGCATCAGTATGTAATGTGTTTAGAGAGCATCAACAAACCACATACATATTTCTCTCTCTTCTCTTTTTTATACTCAGCTAGCACAGCGCAAAAATAAAAAAAAATAACCTTTGCCAGCTCCAGGCAGGCGCAAAGAGAAACTTATGTACAAGCAGCGCTGCGCCCAAAGCGAAATTCATGTATGTATGTACAAGCATCGATAGATGCCAGTTTAACACAGAACATAAACATGAAGATACTACGTTTATACGCATGCATAAGTCGCTTTAATTCATTTCGCCGCGATTCAAAACATATGTATAAACTGAATTTCAATTCGCTTTGAAAGAGCGAAGTGTTTTGGCTCACACTCCATTTCAAATCGGTAGTTTATTTCTCCAGACAGTTAGAAAGAGTGTATAAACACCGCTCTCACTCAAAGTGAATTGGAGGTCAGCTGTTCCGCTCAAATTCCAAATAATCGCATCAGTATTTAAAAGCTGATTAATAATAATCGATCTTTTTCTTTGCCACGATTTTATAATGCCGAATAAAATTAGATTTTTATCACTTTCCATTATGTTAACTTATAAAATGTCAAATGAAAACAGCTTATTTTGTTTGCTTTTGAAGACGGTTACTTTGATGCCGATATAAAGCCGTAAGTATAAGCACTAGAGCGAAATGTGTACGGTGTCAATGCGCTTATAATAGACACACCAGTTGCTGGAGTACCAAAAAGCTGTGATGACAGTATTTTAATTGATCCACGACAATCGGAAGCATATGGAATGCGCGATGGAAATTTTCTGGTGCTTGATAGCCAATATACTACAAGAGTGAAACGCTACAAGGGAATTTTTCTTAAATTTCTTGTTAAGGGTCATCGATAAATTCCTTGTGTTGTAAATAATAAAGGGAATGCCGGGGTTTTCTAAAGCCAGCTTTCCGACATAATCTACTATTCCAAACGAACACAGAAATATAAATGTATCTAAAACTGAATAACTCAAATCAAATTGGATTGCATTTGCATAATATACCTAATATTGGTATAACCTTGTAAAGGTTATAAAATACGTTAAATCCGCACTATCTGCATTAACAAAAACGCTAAATTGGAATATTTAAAATAAAACGATTCATATTTATTTTCTAATAAGTATTGTTTCTTGATTGAAAGTATTTAATACTAATATAATGTAGTGGTTAATGTTTAAAAATGAATTCGCAATATGTCCGCAGCTCAGGTTGATTTGGAGAAATCCGTTTAAATTTTTCGAATTACATCTACTTGAATATAAGATAGGCAGGGTTGCATACAAATGTTAGTTCCGTAAATATTTAAAATATGTTAGTTCATTCAATATTTACATCTGGGCCAATAAATAATAACAAATATAACCGAAAAAACAAAGTATCAATTAAAACGAGTTTTTATAACCCCCCATAAAATTCCGATTAATTTTAAATACGAAAATAACGATATTTTTTCATGGAGAAGTAATTTTTTTCATATACCTTGTTTATACCTATACAAGAACCGCATTAGCAAAAAACCGATTGAACTCAACATATATTTTTTTACAGCATTTATACCCCTGTCTTTATTTTTTTTAATAAATAATTTGCGCGGTTGACCGAAATGGAAACAAATAATAATTGTAATTTATTATAACAATAATTCGAATTTAAAACGGGCTGTATAAAGAAAACCAGCCTATTGTCACTTCACTTCAATTGAGTGATGCGTTTATACTTGTTTTCTAACTGATGTGAGGAACAAAAAACCGAATTGAAACCAAATTGAAGTCAACACACTTTTCAATTTCAACGCGTTTTGAAATTCAGTTTATGCATCCGTTTTGAATCACAGTGAACTGGGTCAAAGCGCCTTATGTGTCGGTATAAACAAGGTAATAGAGCCTTTTGATTCTTAACAACATACATTAGACATTTTATTTAACTGTTGAAATGGTAACAATTACATATGCGCAAAATGTTACTATAGATTCAATTTTTGTTTTATAAAAATACATTTTTTAATTTCACTTTAATTTGGACAGTGGAAATATTTTCATTTTAAAAATGTATCACATATTTTTGAAGATTTTCAAAGCTTTAAAAAAATCTGCAGAACACAACAATGAGCCTTAGGAATAATAAATAAGCAATTGCCTTTTCTTAAAATTTCAGACGTTTTGTTCGACAATAAATAAGCAATTGCTTTTTATTAAAATTTCAGACCTTTTATTCGATTTGTTCAATCAAATCTAAATAAAAGGTCTGAAATTTTAAGAAAAAGCAATCGCTTATTTTTGAATTATTTTATATACTTATTTTCTGTCTCAAAATGGCTTCTCGGCCATGCGGTGGAGTAAATTGAAAAACGAAAAAGAAAAATATTTGAATAGAAATTTGTTTAAGAAACCGATTTAGTTAATAAAAAAGGAGATTGAACATTAACCATGACGATAATGTTTCATTAGACGCCAGGCCAATAACCTAAATCATCAAACAAACATTCGTTTTCGGATGCGGAAAACATCGCCCCAATTGTACGTTTGTCTCCAAATTCTTTTATTAATAATTGAATAAATTTAATTTCTACTTTCCAAAAATTTCCATTGGTGCTGATTGCTGAAAGGATTATTTAGCGATTTGGAGCATAATCAACACAATATATGCACATAAATATGTATTATTTCACAGATCTCAGATATTAGTGGATGATTAAATTTCCCATTAGTACACCAACAACGACTCCTCTACATCCTAGAGCGGTGTGTACTAATGGAAAATATAATCGAATTGTTAGATGTTTGCTAAATTGTATCAACCACCTTTCATGTTTATGTGTAATTTATTTCAGATTTGTTGATTATTTTCGGTTAAGTAAAGATGCTTTTAAATACGTTCTGGAGAAAATAGTACCATCGATGAAAGTAGGGAAACGACCAACAATTATTTCTAATGAAATAAAGTTGGCAACTACGCTACGGTTTTTGGCACAAGGCTCATACCAAGTTGGTGTTGGAAATGATTTCAACTTGGCCTTATCTCAACCCACCGTGTCCGCAATATTGGCTGAAAGACTTGAAGCTCTGGAGCAGGTAATATGCCCCCTGCTTATAAGATTCGAAATGTCCGAGGAGGAGCAGACAGAAGTGATAATGCATTTCTTCCAAAAGGCAGGGTTCCCCGGCGTAATAGGTTGTGTGGATGGAACGCATATTAAAATTTCGGCGCCCACTAAGTTGGACCAAAATCTGTATTTTAACAGAAAAGGGTTTTTCAGCTTAAATGCAATAATTGTAAGTAGAAATTTTGCCACTAGTTGATTTAATTGGTTTTGATAAATTTTACTTATAGATTTGTGATCATAAAATGAAAATAAGGTACTTCGATGCGCGATATGCAGGCTCATCCCACGACTCCCTGATATGGAACATTAGTTCTGCAAAACAGGTGTTACGTGAGCGGTACGATTCTGGAGTGCGCAACGCTTGGCTATTAGGTAAAAAAAAAGCATGATATGTTTATATTGAAGTTAACCAAAACCAAACAAACATTTACAGGCGATGCAGGCTACCCTCTGGAACCGTATTTAATGACGCCCTATAGATCAACTTCAGAAGGAAGC